GGAACGCGGGGGGCGGGCGGACAGGACAAAACCGGGGGGCGGGGCCGAGGGAAAAATGGGGGCGCGGGCAGGTGAACGGGGACGGGATACAATCCGGGGGGCGGGGCTGCGGGGGGGCAGGTGAGCAGGGCAGGCTAAAAACGGGGGGCAGCGGGGATGAAGAGAAGCGGGGGAGGTATGAAAACGGAGCGGGGGGAGAAACGGGGTGGAGGGGGAAACCGGGAGCGGAAGGAACGCGGCGGGTGACAACGGGGGGTGGGGGTGGGTGCAGGAGGTGTAAGCAGAAAAGGGGGTGCGGCGGGGAGCGGGGCTGAGGGAGTCCGAGGGAAGGGAGCGGAGGACTGATGAGAGAACTGGGGGCGATGGGGCGGGGAGAAAGCCGGAGGGGCTCGGAACCAGGTGAAAAAGGGGGGAGCGAATAGGAAGGAGACTGTTCCTCGAGAACGAGGACCTGAAGACACCAGGGATCAAGGGAACGGGGGGGGACAAAAAGCGGGGGCCGAGGGGAGAATTGGGGGGGAGGGGGTCTGGGAACTCCGGAGCCGGTGAGAGGCGGGAGGGAAGGAACGAGCCTGGGGAATAAAATGGGGGCGCTGAGGCCGGGAGCTCAGAGGTTAAATGGGAGCCTTGGTGGAGGAGCCCAGCTCAGGGGTTAGGAATGGTAAGCCGCCAGTTTTTAAAAATGGGAACCAGAAAAAGACAAACCCGGCGGAAAGTGGAGGGTGAAAACGAGCATGTCAAGGTTAAAATGGGCGATGGGAAAGGGGCAGCGGGCCAGACAGAAAAAGGGGGGAATCCAAAAAGAGTGGGGGTCCAAATCTGGACAAACTGGGTAAACATGGGTGTGACCTAGGAGGACGGAAGTTCACGGAAAGAGGTGTTGGGGACAACAGGGAGAGAAGCGAAACAGGCAAGGGTACAGTGGGGACTCAGAAACCAGCTTGGATTAAACCCACACATATTCAAAGGGAGGGGCTGGGTGGAAAAGAACGTGGGACACTGAGGTTAAGGTAGGAAGCATGGGTTTGGTTAGAAAGGAAGTAAGTTAAGGTGGAACCGCTGTGATAAAGAGCTGGGGAGCAAGGCCAGGGCAAGGAGGAGGGAGCCGGGAGCGAGCCTGGAGGGCAGTAAAGAAACGGCTGGGAGGAAGAATGACCTAAGAGGGAGACTGACTTGAAGCTTCCTCTAAAAACTACGGTCTAGGCTGGGCCTACGACAGGAAAGTGGGAGGTCCCGTGAGACATTATGGGGGTTACAATTAGCTGAGCCCAGTAAAGAACTCCCAAGGCCACCCACAACTACAGGACAGCTGATAGAATTCATCTTTTCAGCCAGCCCAGCAACAGATCCAGGTTCTCCCTGAAGACTTGCTACCCTAACGCTTTAATGTTAGAAAGCATGCAGTCTGACCAAAAAGAGGCATCCGCAGGGAGGGGGGACAAAATGGAAGAACAAGTTTCTCAAGGAGATCAGGAAAGGTGCAGGAGTCTCACGTGAGAGAGTATCTACAGAGAAAATGGCAATGAAAACGCTTTCATTACCAACACAGGGAAAGCTAGTAAAAAAAACTGGGGGAGGCAAACCCATTTCTCCAAATCTTTCAGTTTACTAATCAAGTCTAAATCAAGATCATTAAAGCATTTATTTAAAAATAACTTTATTCCATCATCTTTTTTAAAAAAATTCATATTATAACCTCAGAATAAATTTCTCTGACTCCCCTCCCCCCCCACAGCACACCAAGTATTAAAATGTCAGTAATGCAGAGGGATCTGCTAATTTTTCTTCGCAGCAGTTCCTGGTCAGTGCCACGGTGAGAATTACCAGTTGGCACACTGCATCACAATAAATTTTACCTAGCAAGGATGATTTTCTGACTTTCGGTCCATCTTCCATCGTGGGTTGTCTGCAGTCTTAGGGCCTATCTGTGCTTGTGAGAATTAGAATATCAAAGCCACAGGATTGCCTGAGCCCTTCCCCAGTGTCCCCTTCTGAAATGTCCGTTGTGATAGCCGTTAAGTATTTACTTCCTGGTTCTGATAAGTGGATCTTGGAGTTCAAAATACCTTCCGATACTATTGTGTAACAGGACAATGTAACAACCTGAACTTTGCCACAGTTTGTAACCCACTGTCTCATGCTTATAGTTTTAGGGATGAGTCATCTTAAAATAAAAGAAAGCCCTAATTCTTTAACAATCCTTAAAACTCGAAGACTGCCAGTACCTGTGCTCTTAACTGACCCAGGGCTCAGATATGAGTGACCAAAGTCGTGGCTCAGGTAATCTAGGGTGTAAAGCGTTTGGCAACAAGACCTTGAAGCCCCCAATTGCTAGTGGAAAACCCCTGCCCCAAAGATTTCCTATCATTAGATGTGTGTGCAAGAGAAGTTCTGGAAAGCATCTCAGTGATCTTGCAAATCATTCTCTGCGTTCCTAGCTAGGGATTTTTTTTTTCCTGTTTTTTTTTTTTTTAATATGGTTGCCTCTGCAGAGTGAACCCTCCAAGTCAGGAATTTAATCGTGGAAGATTCTGAAGGGAGACAGACTCCGAGTTCAGTGACTTTAGAAGCAACTCAAGTCTCCTGTTCTGAAACATTGACTTGGGCTGTCCAGAGTGGCGACGTCCAGGAAGTCCTGGGCAGCAGAAGCCCCAGCACATAAGAACTGCAGTTCGCTATACACCCCAGGTTAGCTGGGGGTAGAACCAGCAACCAGCTCCTGCGATTCACAGGGCTCTGAGCTGGGGACGGGGTTCACTCCTAGTCATTTGCTCAGTTCAGTCTTTAAGTCCAAGAAAATAGACTCCTCCCCGGGACACCTGCAGGGGAACGCTGCAGACAACCAGCTTCTCATCTTACTGGAGTCCCAGTCCCTGTTATTTGGAGAAAGGAAGTTCTCCCTTAAGCACTAGCTCTTGCCCAGCAAGTGGGATATGAACATTAAAGAGTGCAAACTCAAGTCAGATTTTCATGTTTAGCACACGTCTTTTGCACCCTTACTAGGTCTCTGACATGTAAGAGATTTGGACGAAATCAGAGAAGAACACTCTCTGGGCTGTACAGGGATCTGGAAACAGCAGCTTAAACTCATCAGATGTTATTTCATTCAAAACTTTGCATTGTTGATCAATGCATCCTCATACTCTCCTTAAGGAGGAAGGAAACAAGTTTTCCCGTCCCCATTTCCAAAATCAAGAAACGGAGCCCAGAGGAACTAGTCTGCCCAAGGAGTGCTTATCACCAGGTACTCCACTGCAAAACATTTCTCCTGCCTTCTTTCAAAGCCACAGGAGAAAGGGGAGAATGGGAAAATCTGCAAGCTACTAGGGTATCACCTAAGAGGCTTTTGTATCAATATGAAGCTCTGCAAAATGAGAGGTTCTAATGAAAGGCACTTCCTCTTAGGGGCCCCTACCTCTTTTGAAAAGAATTACACCTCCAGGGAAGCAAATAGCGTCAGGAGAGCCCTGATAATGCTTCCTCTGAAACCATTTTACAAAGAACGAGAGGCCCAGGCAGCAGCCTGTAACTTACAGATGACACAGTTTCTTCCACTAGGGAGGGCAGAGGAGAGGATAAAGAACATCTACTGAACGCCTGCTGGATAGCACTTTCCCATCCACAATACCTCATTTAGTCCCCACCATCCCCTGTAAGGCAGGTATGATTTCACCTATTTTACAGATGAGGAAACGGAGGCCCCAGCAGAGGGAAAGCAACGTGCCCAAGGCCAGGAAACCAGTAAGGAGCAGGGCCCACATTCAAGCCTAGGTGTTTACAACTCCTAAACCTGAGCCAAACTGTCTCCCTTTGACTCCCCATCAATAGCGGACACCTCCTCACCTTTTCCAGGGAGGTGACATCTGCCTGGCTTTCCAGGCAGTGATAAAGGAGGTGTCCCTATCACCCCACACTATTCCCTTGTGTGTATGGGGCAAGCTGGTCACAGACCTCTAAGAGTGTACTGGGAGCACTGTGCATGGAGGCCAGGTGCTTCCCCCCCCTCTTGTCCCCTCCAAATCAGCATCAGTCAACCTGGATCAAACCACAGTCACAGTGAAGGGGGCACCTCAGATGCCAAATGCACCTTTCCCCGCCAGGCACTGCCTGTTCCCATCCCAACACGTTTTAACATCAATGAGAAAACTTATCAGCAAATCAAACCAATTTAGAAAAAAAAAAGGGGGGGTAGGGAATCTGTGTGCGTGTTTTTCTTTTTTTGCTGAGTGTCCCAAACCATTTTCAGCCCTCAGGCATGGGTGCAAGTCAAGTCAAAGCAGGATGAAAAGCTCATCTTCAACGTAGCTTTCCAGGCTTTTAAGACGGGATAACAGAGGATAGTTCTCTTTCTTCAAACTGGCCTGTCTTCTTCTTGAACGATGTCACTCTGCTCCTCACTGCTGTCGTCTGGACAGGAGGGAAAAGCAGATCCGAGTCTGAGTGAGCTCAACAAGAGGTCACTCCACCTCCACCATCCATTTTCAATCACTGCACTTCCCAGTCCTTCACTGGCAAGCCTCAGAACGGGAATTCACGGGGGAGCAGGTGGGGCAGGGTGCGTGTTCCCCTTTTCTCCTGTTCTTTTCACTCAAGATCCTCTAGATGTGCTCGATACTGCTGGGTACTGCATCACCTGGTTCGTGCCAGTCCCCTCACCTGGAATTCTCTCTCCTTTCTGCTTATTCAAACTCAACTGTCTTGCCTCATATCCTTGTTCCGCCATCAAGCGTCTCCCAAACAATGCACCCCTCAAGGCACTCACCTCTCTCTGAGGTCCTGTGAGTTCTTTTTTAAAGATTTTATTTACTCATTTGAGACAGAGAGATACAGAGAGAGAGAGAGAGAGCATTGGCAGGGAAGAGGCAGAGGGAGAGGGAGAAGCAGGCTCCCCGCCGAGCCAGGAGCCAGACGCGGGGCTCGATCCCAGAACCCTGGGATCGTGACCTGAGCCGAAGGCAGACGCTTAACGACTGAGCCACCCAGGCGCCCCTGAGGTCCTGTGATTTTTAAGCCTATCATTCCTCTGGCGATAATCAAATTCCTCCTTGCAACAGCTCTTCTACTGCTCTCTCAAAGTGATGGTTCAATCTTGCTTCCGTCTTAAGTTTCCCCAAGTTTTCCTCGGTACACTCTGACTGGGCTTGGAAAGCTCCCTGCCTACAGTTATGATCGGTCTTTTTTTTTTTTTATTACCCCAACAAGGCCAATATCGTGCCTTTCCCAGAGCAGGTCCCTGATAAATGTCTGTCAGTTTAACTGTGGTGTTGGGAGTTGACAGGATCCTAGATGAAGCTTTAACTACCTTCCCCACCCTTTAAAACTAGACTCACCTCTCAGAGATTCTTACTGGGAATCCCAGTGCAGCCTAGCAGAGTGCTTTGAAGAAGGAGGAGCTCACCTTGCAGAGCCTGGAGCCCATTGCCCATCCAGTCGACGTTCCCATTCACCAGGGCAGTCACTCTGTGAACGTGGCCATGCTTACGGATTTCTTCTGGCGACGCCTCTCTCTCATTTGCTTCTTCCTCTTCTTCCTCCTCTTCAGCAGCATCTTCCTCCTCTACCTCCTCTTCTTCTTCTGAATCCACCAAAACCATGACATCCCCCATGTCTTGTCCCCTAATTTCCAAAGGGGAAGAAATAATCAAGAAGATACCCCCCTTTTTTTTTCTCTAACATCAGCCCTCGCTGAATAGAAAACACTGGATTGATGGCAACCTCTTTTGTAACATGGAAAATTCTTTGTGCGTTCCCCTCGGTTAAGAGAGGACGGTGTGATTGTAATCTCTCAAAGAGCTGCTGCCACAGATTCCTACAGACACTCACGTATTTTCCTGAGTGGGTTTTATTACTCCCCTCTGCTCCTTGGGCAAGTGACTCTTTGTCCCAGGAACCTACCATTTTAGTTCGCCTCACAGCACCTACACGAATGCTACATTCCTTTCCTGAAACGCCCTTCATTTCTGCTCTACTTACTGAAACTTTGCCTTCTACTCATTATTCAAGGCCCAGGTAAAGTCCTCTCCCTCCCCACAAGCCCTGAACCATGATTGCACTTGGAGTCCATGCCCAGCGGTTTAGCATTTAATTCTCCAGTTCACCGCTGGGTCTGCCTACCCAGCCAGACTGTGCATTTCTTACACATGCCATGGGCCAGTGACAGTGCTAGGAGCATTACATTTTCATATAATCTTCCCAGTCTCCTTCTGGAAAACCAATGAGGAGACAGAGGCTCAAAGAGAATCAGGGATTTTCCAAGAGCACAGGGCTTGGGAACGGCAGAGGTGCCAACGTGAGCCCAGGTCCACTAGTTCCAAAGCGTTTTCCCACTATGCCTTGCTGCCTCCTCCTGTGAGAAATAGGCCTGGGGAATGAAAGGCTCACTGGGGAGATGTCCCTCAAATACAGGGCAGTAAATGTAACATTTTCCTGTGAAAGATCATCCCAGAACAGGAATATCTCTTCATAAACTGGTTAAAAGGAACAAAGAGAAGACTTCTTTGCTCCAACCCAGAATCTCTTTAGGAAATGATTACACAAGTTCCATTTAGTTACCTTGTCCCTACTGAGGTTTCTTTTTTTTTTTTAAGATTTTATTTACTTATTCTAGAGATAGTGCATAAGCACAGGGAGGAGCTGAGGGAGAGGGATAAGCAGACTCCCCGCTGAGCACAGAGCCTGACTTCGGGCTCAATCCATGACCCTGAGATCATGACCTGAGCCAAAATCAAGAGTCAGATGCTTAACTGACTGGGCCACCCAAGCGCCCCCTGAGATTTCCTTTTGGGAGGGCATGCTCAGACTAGTCTTCTAAAACATGCTGTGAGACTATGACTTATTCTTCCTTTCAGCTCTTTTTAGGAAATTAAATAAACGCACACATGCCCGGGCTCACAGCCCACACACCATCTTTATGCTTCAGTGAGAGCCCAGCTTGAGGTCTGGGGTCTGGCACTACACCCTGAGGTCTGGCATCACAAAAAGACCACAGACTTTGGAATTAGTCAGACCTGGATTGGAACGCAGGCGCCGCTATTCATTTCCTGGGTGAGCGTGCAGAAATTACTTTAACTCCCTGAGCGTCCATCTCCTTATCTGGAAAATGGAGGTGCCACCACCTTCCTGAAGAGTTTATGAAAGAGTTTCCAATAAGGCCTAACGAAGCCCCTCCACCCAGTGTTCGGCACATGGTGGGTCCTCCACAGTGGCTGCTAGTATTGCTCTTACAAAGAAAACAAAAACAGCAGAGAAGACAGACCACGGAAATGGGTTTTTGACTCGATTCTAGGAACACTCACCTGAAAGTGTTTCCTACTGAAGGGAGAAAGGAAAGAAAATTAATATCCAGTAACATCCACTTCAGCAAAGTTTTTAATCTAACGTTTGCAAAAGAAACGGAGAAATGAGAAAACTGACCCAACATGACAGGTGACAGGGTGTTCAGGGATGGTACTTAAGTGACTCATTATTGTACATCCGGCCCCAGTCAAGAAGCCTATAGAATGGGACCTTGGGTAGGAGCACAACTGGGGCCTCCTTCCCCCACCCACACCCTTTCAAGAAGCCTCAAAGGTAAACGAAGGGACCCAAGAAATCCTTACCTTTCCAGCAGAACACAGGGTTGTAATATAACATAAGCCCTGAGATGACAGCCAGTCCAAGCAGCAGGAGGCTCACGATGGTGCCCACAAGTCCCCCGATATTTAAAGGTTCTGCAAAGACAAATCACACTATTTATTTTAAAGATTTTATTTATTTATTTTGACACAGAGAGAGACACAGCTAGAGAGGGAACACAAGCAGGGGAGTGGGAGAGGGAGAAGCAGCCTTCCCGCCGAGCACGGAGCCCGATGCGGGGCTCGATCCCAGGACGCCGGGATCATGACCTGAGCCGAAGGCAGACGCTTAACGACTGAGCCACCCAGGCGCCCCGACAAATCACACTATTGATTCTTCCATCTGATACACATGCTGGTCAAAGAGCAACAGCTCCCTTCCTCTGCCTGGGTCTCAGTTTTGTTTTGGTTCCATGGTCTCTGGCAAGGCATATGACCTCTCCATAAAGAAGATAAATATCTCATTTCCCGACCTCAGGCAGTTTGTGGGAAGCATGTGATGCAAAGGAAGACTGGAAGGTTAAAATCTCCAGACATCAAGACTGTTTATAAGGCCACGGAAATGAAGAGGGTGAGCTATTGGTGCCATGATAAACAGTAGTGATGAATGGAACAGAATAGAGAACCCAAGAACAGACTACACATAAAAGCAAATTCGATAGATGACAGATTAGTGAGTAAAAGAGGAATTATTCAAGAATGGTGGTGGAATCGATGGCTATCCAAATTTGGGCGGGGGAGAAACCAGATCCCCACACCTCACACCATTCACAAAAATCAATTCTAGATAGATTAAAGATTTAACTGTAAAAGGCAAAAATGTTAAAACTTTTTAGAAGAAAGTATAGGATAGTATCTTTGTGGCCATGGGGGAGATGAGATTTCTTGAGATGTAAAAATTGCTAATGATATAAGATCCATAAAATTAACTACATGAAAGTAAGAATGTCTGGGGCGCCTGGGTGGCTCAGTTGGTTAAGCGACTGCCTTCGGCTCCGGTCATGATCCTGGAGTCCCCGGATCGAGTCCCGCATCGGGCTCCCTGCTCGGCCGGGGAGTCTGCTTCTCCCTCTGACCCTCCCCCCTCTCATGTGCTCTCTCTCTCATTCTCTCTCTCTCAAATAAATAAATAAAATCTTAAAAAAAAAAAAAAGTAAGAATGTCTGCTAATCAAAGGATACCAAAAAGAAAGCAAAAAAAGACAAACAAGCTAAAAGGAGATATTTGTAACATGTAAAACTAACAAGGAATTAGTATGCAGAAGTTCTAAAGAACTCCTACATATCTATAAGAAAGGGGAAAATGTCAAAAGACACAAGTGACTATTTCACAGAAGAAACACAAATAGCAAACATATGAAATAATGCTCAATCTTCTTAGTAACCACAGAAGGGCCAATCAGAACAACAGTAAGATTCCATTTTACATGTACTTAATGGGCAAAAATCACAAAGCCTGAAGGCAAAAATGCGGAACAACTCAACACTCTTAAAATACTGCTGTTGTGAATAGAAATTGGTACGACCACTTTGGAAAATAATTTGCTATTATCCCGGAAAGATACAAATGTGCATAACCCTTCCTTTCTATTCCTTCTACATATATCCTAGAGAAATATTTGCCTAGGGACCTGCTATAAATGTGTACACAAGGAGCTGGATAAAAGATTTTCATGGCAACACTTTTGCTCATCACAACATCAAAATCAGAAACAATACCAAAGTCTACCAGCAGGGAAATTAGTAACTTAGTTGTGGAACCATGACACAGTAGAAAATCCTACAGCAGTGAAGAGGTACAAAGTATAATTACACACATAATTACACACGTTGACATGAATAAACCCTAGGAACTAAATGTGGAGTGGAAACAGCAAGGATTTCACTATGTAGTAAAATTTTTCTTGAATAAAAAAATTCAGGATAGTTGCTTACCTTTTTCAGGAGGCCCAGGATGAGACTGGAAAGGGGTCTAGAGGTAGGGTTGGCCGAAAAAAATACAACATGCCCATTTAATTTGGATTTCAGATAAACAATGAATCCTGTTTTAGAATAAGTATGTCCCATGGAAAATGTGGGATATAGTTACACTAAAAAATGCTTTTGTTTTTCTAAAATGCAAATTCAAGTGGGCATCCGGTTTTTTTTTTTTTTTTTTTTTAGCTTTGTTGTCATTTTTTAAATCTGGCCATACTACCTATAAATAACTTCAGCGTTGTAGGTACCGCTCTGTATCCTAAGCGGGATGGTAGTTTCTCAGGTGTGCATTTTGCTATTATGCTTCACAACTTACATTTTTTATGTTTTTTATGTATTTTATATTTATAATATATATATTCTTTTGGATGTAACAAGTTATTATTTAAGTTTTATTTTATTATTTTTTAGTAATCTCTACACCCAGTGTGGGGTTCCAACACATGATCCCGGGATCCAGAGTCGCATGCTCTTCCGATGGAGCCAGCTAGGCGTCCCAACATAAATTTTTTTTTTTTTTTTTTTTTTTATCCCTATGCAATGTTAGAGATTTACGACTGGATAATAGTTTTTCTACCTTGTCAAGTCACAGTCAAGCAGATACGTCTTCTCCCCGATGGCAGTGACCTGCGTACAGGGAAGAACCAAACTGTCCCCATGCTGGTGCCTGGTCCTCTGAAGCTCTCAACCGTCCTCCTTTGGGGCCCCTGCCCTCACTCACCTTTCACGGTCAGCCAGATGTCCACCTGCCGCACCCCCACAGGGTTCTCAGCCTGACAGACGTAGTAGCCCTCATCCAGGGCCTGGGAGCAGTTGCAGATGGTGAGACTGGAGATCTGGCCATTCTGCGTGATGAGATAGTGGCCATTGGGCTGGAGGACCACCTCAGGCTGGGTGAGGTTCCTCAGCCACAGGATCTTGGCAGGGGGGTAGGCTCCAGTCACTTGGCAGGTGAGCGTCACATTGCCCCCCACGAAGCAAGTCCTCATGGGCTCAGAGAGAAGGGAGGGGCTCCCTGGTGATCAGAAGGTAAAGAAAGACAAATGTTCAGGGAGACTCAAGCCGGGGCCTGAGATTTTCAAGAATATTACTACCTTCCTGATGAAGCAACTCCAGGGATTTCTGTCCTGCACTTGGTCTCATGTAATAATAAAAGCCAACATTTATTGAGCATCTATTATGGGCTAGGCGCTGTTAAACTTATTACCCCATTTTGCAGATGAGGCAACTGAGACCCAGAGAAAGTTAAGTTACTTGTTCAAAGTCACACAACCAAATAAGTGGTGCCCCTAGGATTTTGGGTGACCAACTGTCCTGGTTTGCTGAAGCCTGAGGGGGTTCCTGGGACATGGAGCTTTCAGTGAGAAAACTGAGAAAGTCTTGGGCAAACCAGGATGAATTGGTTACTTCTTTATTTTTTTTTTAAGATTTTATTTATTTATTTATTTGAGAGAGAGAGGGAGGGAGAGAGAGAGTGCGCACGGGGAAAGGGGCAGAGGAAGGAAAGAGAGAACCCCAAGCAGACTCCCGACTGAGCACGGAGCCAGATGCGGGGCTCGAGCTCACAACCCTGAGATCATGACCTGAGCCAAAATCAAGAGTCAGACACGTGGGGCGCCTGGGTGGCTCCGTCGTTAAGCATCTGCCTTCGGCTCAGGTCATGATCCCAGGGTCCTGGGATCGAGCCCTGAGTCGGGCTCCCTGCTCTGCGGGAAGCCTGCTTCTCCCTCTCCCACTCCCCCTGCTTGTGTTCCTCCTCTCGCTGTGTCTCTCTGTCAAATAAAAAATAAAATCTTTATTAAAAAAAAAAAAAAGAGTCAGACACGCAACTGACACTGAGCCACCCAGGAGCCCCGAGTTGGTTACTCTTGTAAGCCCAAGTTGCCAGGCTTTTGTAGCCCACATTGCTCATCTACACTCTAGGCTTGCATGCATCATAGCCACGTTGCTCATAGAAAGAATGGGCGCACAGCCTGCCAGGAGTGCTCGAGGGGACAATGAGGCAGCTATATTCATTTCCTACTGATGCTGTAACAAACTGCTACAAACTGATTTAAAACAACACAGATTTATTCTTTTCTAGTTCTAGAGGTCAGAAGTTGGAAATGATCCTATGGGCCTGGAATCAAGGTGTTGGCAGAGCTTGTTCCTTCTTGGAGGCTCCAGCGGGGGGGGGGGGGGGGGGGTCCATTTCCTCGCTCTCCAGCTTTCTGAAGCTACCTGCATTCCCTGGCTCCTGGCCCCTCTTTGCCTCACTCCAACCTCTGACATCTGTCATCATGTCTCCCGCTACTGAGTCCCACCCTTCTGCCTCCCTTTTAGAAGGACCCATGTAATGACATGGGGCTCACCCCGATAATCCAGGATAATCTCCCCATCTCGAGCTCTTAGTCTCAGCTGCAAAGTCTCTCTTGCCACGTAGGGTAAAGTCACAGGGATTAGGACATGGACATCTTCGTAGGGGGAGCATTAGTCTGTCTATCACAGGTCTGTCCTAGACAGCTCCCAATGCAGCGTCCCTGTGGCCTTGGGGTCTGATCTGAGTTGGACACAGGGAACTGTAAGGTCTCCCCTAGCGATCCGTGATGTGAGCACTCAGCTCCTAGGGTGATCGTGAGAACAAGCAAGAGACCGTGTGGAAAACACTGAGCACAGCGCCTTGCACACGCTCTGCGCTCAGTAAATGTTAATGTCACTATTATTGATATTGCCTATTTCATGGTTCTCGGACTTTTCTCGCCGAGTAAATTTTAAGTCCTTCAAAGGTCAGGACTCGGTATTCCTCCACAGGACCCGGTGCCACGCTGAGTACATAGCTCTTACCCAAAAAGATTTGCTGGACTAGGTCCCAAGGAAGGGGGTCCCCGAGGGAGGCAAGGGTTCTGGGGTCAGTCAGCCCAGCTTGGGCTAAGTGCCGGCTTCAATCACTTACAAGCTAGGTGAATCTTGGGTAAGTCAGTTCACACCGTGTCACATCTGCAACTTGCAAAACGTCCTGTCTAACCTGCAGGCTATTGTGAGGCTTACAAACAACATGTGAATGATCTGGCAAAGAGAACCCTAAACCCTAAGAGAGGAGGACTGACAGAGGTGACCCCTTCAAAATCAGAAACTGCGGATCACAGCAGGGATGAGGCACAAATGTAGTTTAGGAGCCAAGGAGGACAGAAAAATACCTATGACAGGCACAACAGTTCTATGAAATTAACTGATAAAGTTAATACAAAGTACTCTTTGGGAATAATGGGAAAAGATGAACCCAATAGAAAAATGGACAAGATATGAACAGATTAATTCACAGATGATATATAGGGACCCAAGAAGCATATGAAAATTGCCAACCACACCAGGATCAAAGAAACCCAAATTAAAACAGTTATGCCACGTCCTAATGAACAAATAGGAAAAGTCTAAAAAAATTAATGATTTAATGGTAACACTCCACGTCAACGGAAATCCTGGGAACGAAGTACTCGCACACAGTCACTGCCAGTGGGTAGGGCTTCTTTGTGAGGTGATGGAAATGTTCTGGAAGTAGACAGTGGTGATGGTCAAGTACAATGTCGTAAATGTACGAAAAGCTACCACATTATACACTTCGAAATAGTGAAGTTCATGTTATGTGAGTTATATCTCATTAAAAATAAAATTGCAAACTACCAGTTGGGCTGGATTTGGCCAATGGGCCATTGTGTGCCAAGCCCTGTTGTAATGCACAAAGTGAGTCTTGTCCCTTCTGTTGCCCAAGGCCAGCCAGGTACCGGACACAGACGAGACACTCGGGACATGTTTGTTGAATGAGTCAGTGGGGAAGGGACAGCCATGTGAATGCCACTTGCCTGGGACAACAAGCACCTCCTGGAATAGCAAGGCTGTCTTCTCAGCAGGCCAGCGCTCCACAGCCGCCCCTCTGAGGTAAATTATCCTGACAGGCCATGAGGAAAATCCTCCCCACGGCCAACAAAAGCCAACACTCTCTGGTCCTTGCATACAGTTGTATTAGATCCCCAGGGCTGCTATCACAAAGCACCACAAACTGGGTAGCCTAAAGCAACAGAAATCCATTCTCTCACGGCTCTGAAATCAAGGTGTCAGCAGGCTTGACTCCTTTGGAGGCTCCTGAGGGAGACACCATCCCATGCCTCTGTCTTAGCTTCCGGGGGTCGCCGGCAATCATGGGCATTCTGGGCTTATAGATGCATCACTACAGTCCCCACCTCCGTTATCATGTGGCATTCTCCCCGTGTGTCTGTGTCCAAATGGCCCTCTTGTAAGGATAGCAATCGCGGGAATGGAGCCCACCATAACCCAGGATGACCTCATCTTAACTTCATCACACCTGCAAAGACTCTTATTGCAAATATGGCCACATCCACAGGTACCCAGGATTAGGACTTAAACAGATCTTTTGGGGGAGACACAATTCAACCCACAACAGCCATCTAGCCTCATGGATACCTCATGCACGGCCCTCTGGCTACACTGGCCTTCTCTCAGTTCCTCAAATGCCAGGTACATTTCCACCTCAGGGCCTCAGCATTTGCTATTTCCTCTGCCGGGAACACTCAGCCCACCCGGCCAGCTCCTTCCTATCCTTCAGGCCTCTTCTCAAAACGCTACCGCTACAAGGAGACCTCCCTGCCCCAGAGGAACAGTGGCCCTCTTCCTAGAAGAGACTCTTTCACACACCCCGTTACATCCTCTTCACAAGTACTATCACCATCTGAGCCTACCTGACTTGTGTTTGGACTTTGTCTTCCTGTCACCCCCATCCCCACACAGAAGAATCTATGAAGGACGAGTGGTCGTGGTTTCAAAAACACGTCCAGGAATCATGTGGCACTCTTCCCTTCAAAAAGTGGAGCCCAATTCCACCCACTGCCCTTGAAAGTGAACCCAGACTGTGACTCACTTCTAACGAACAGAAGAGGCAGTCGGGATGCCATGTGACTTCTGAGGCTAGTAGTTCAGAGAAAGGATAGCATCGGCCTGGCTTGCTCCCTCTTGCATCACTTGCTCTGGGGAAAGCCAGCACCATGTTGTAAAGACAGTCAAGGGGCCCTGTGGAGAGGCCCACATGGAGAGGAAGCAACCTGCCAGGCATGTGGGTGAGCACCTGGGAAGTAGATCCTTCAGACAATTTCAAGCCCCCTAACCAGGTCTTGCAGCTGAGACCCAGGAATCATGGAGCCAAGACAAACCCACTGTGCCCTGAGTTCCTGGCCCACAGAAATCATAAGATAAATAAATGATGTGTTGTTGTAAGCCATTAATTCTGGGGGTGTTTGTTACATAACAGGAGATGGCTACTAAATGAACCACGCCCGTCTTGTTCACCACTCCATCCCCAATACCTGGAAACAGTACCTGGCACATAGCAGGCAATGCTTAATTAGTGTCTGTCAAGAGTGGAAAACAGCTTGGATGAGAACCAAGAAGCTTGGTTAAGCATCTTTAACGTTTGAAAGGAAGGAAACACAAAGCAAAAGAAAAGAAGAAACAATTCAGTTCACTGCAATATCTTGGGATTTCTTTCCCAGACCTTGCAAATGGTTCTCTCACAACAAAGATGGGTGGACCCCAACCCGGGACGAGGCAAGCCAGACTCACTGATCTGTATCGCACAGCTGGCTCCCAACTCCGGCCCCACTATGTGGCTCCCAACACACTTGAACTTCTTGCCATCTGACAGCTGGGACTGGTTCAGCATCTCCACCCCCAGCTTTGACGTCCCCACGACCACACCTCCTGGCTCTTCTCTCCACAGGAAGTCCGGGTCTGGGTATCCCCCGTCCCAGCGACAGGTGAGCTGCAGCATGAGTGATCCTTGTGACATCTCTGCCCGGCACTGAGGGGCTGATGGAGGGGGGACTGCAAAACACCAGAGCATGTGGGCTTAGTCGCAGACTCGGAGATCACCACTGGGCTGGCTCTAAGGATTACAGAACTGGGGTATCAGAGAAACATCATGCCCAGTTAGCGTACCTTGAAATAGCTCCTTAGCACAAATTAGTGTGTGACAATAGTCCGATTTCCTCTGCTGAGTGTAAAATCTCCAAGGTTGTGGGCCTCGATCATCTTTGCATTTCTCACTAGCCACAGTGGCCTTTAAATGTGGCTATTTAAATTTAAATTAATGACATTACATTACAAATTTAGTTCTTCCATCACACCACCCACATTTCAAGGGCTCGGGAACCCTATGTGGTGGGTGGTTATTGTACTGGACCACACAGAATAGAACAGTTCCATCTTCATAAAAAGTTCTACTGGACTGTGCTGGTCCCCAGGGGGAGGTACAGGTGGGATTCACCTCCACCCTTAACATATACTTCCTTTTTATTATGTACATGCATTACTAAAAACACATAAAAATTTAACAAGTTACAAACCTGGAGATCCAATGTAACCCATGTGTTAATAACTATATATGAAAATCCACACACATTATAGATGTATAATATGTATATATACATATATTGTATACTTTATATGTATATACATTATACCTTTTTTTTTAAAGTATTTATTTGACAGAGAGAGACACAGTGAGAGAGGGAACACAAGCAGGGGGAGTGGGAGAGGGAGAAGCAGGCTTCCCACTGATCAGGGAGCCCGATGCGGGGCTCGATCCCAGGACCCTGGGACCACGACCTGAGCCGAAGGCAGACGCCTAACGACTGAGCCACCCAGGCGCCTCCATTATACTTGTTATGTGTATATATGTATTATGTATACAATATATGTATATTATGTTATACATATATGTATGTTATACATATATTACACATCTAAACATATATGTATATTATGTATACATTATGTATATATGTATATTGTATTACGTATTATATATGTATGTTTTATATATTTTATATAACATGCATAAATAGAAATGTTTGGATCTTACATGGATGGGTAGATACATGTCATCTACAAGATAAATTATTGATAATACACCAAAATGATGGTTAGAATATTCTTTTCTTCTTTATGCTCATCTGTTTCCTCTAACAAGCACCTATGACTTCATAAATAATGTCATTTATGACACAGAACATAGAGACTTATAAAGGCTCCGAATAACGTTATGAATTAAGAAAGGTGTTATTATCCCGTTCACTCATTTGTTGTTCTGAAGCTTCCTTTCATTAGCATGGATTATGAGCACACTCCACATGTCTACAGTGGTTTTCATCCAAGGAATCTGCTGTGTTCTCACCCCCAGAATAAAGGTCCGTGGACTGCTGATTCCTAGCAGTGCGAGAGGGCCCAAGTTCATGGACAGAATGAGGGTGGCCGAACAGATAAACTCTGGTCTTTCCCTACAATGGAATATTAACTCAATCACAGAAAGGAATGAAGTGATGACACCTGCTCCAACATGGATGAGCCTTGAAAACATGATGCTAAGTGAAAGAAGCCAGTCACACAAGCCACACGTTTCATGAGTCCATTGACCCGATACATCCAGAAGAGGCAAAAGCAGACAGAACACAGACTGGCAGTTGCCAGGGAGCCATGAAGAAAGCGGGAGTCACTGCTCAGTGGCAATGGGATTTCCATTTGGGGTGATGAGAATGTTCTGGAACTAGACAGAGGCAGTGGTTGCGCAACACTGTGAACATACTAAATGCCACTGAGTTGTATGTTTGAAAATGGTTGTTCTGTACTTTCACCTCAATTAAAAAAAAAAAAAAAGCAAGCATGAGGCTTGGCAATAATTTCCTTCTGTGGCTCACAGGGACTCTCCTGTAACCCTATTTAGCAGCAAGCTTCTAGAAGCTACTCCCTCTCTGACACACAGTGCCGGGTGTGTACCTGTGTGTTGAGAAAGCTACAGAAGCACGTTAGGACCCGTGAAGCAGGCATGCCTTTGTAGACAAAAGAGGCACAAACATGCAGTTCACAAGGGGTCAAGGTGAGGACGTGGGGGAGGGGGAGGGGAACGCTTCTTACGCACAGTAGACCAGGAGCTCGGTGGTCACCTTTCGCTGTCTCCCAGTGCGCATGTTCGTGGCCAAACAGGTGTAGTTTCCTTGGAGGTTTTGTGACATCAGCAGCAGAGTGAAGCAGCTGACTGTCAGGTTGTTTCCAAAGGGCTCGGTGCTGGAATCTGGGGCCCGAAACTGCCATTCAACCATTGGTGGAGGCCAGGAGCTACTGCTGCAGCTGAAGTCCACCTGGGAGCCCTTGGCTGCATAGATGGTGCCGTTGGGGAGCTTGCCAGTGCTGGAGATATTGACCTCAACCTCATAAGGGCCGCCTGGGAATGACAGGGGGAATGGAGAAAGCATTAATTACTTAAGAGTTAACTTGAGCTCCTTACCAGATCTAACAGACACAGAAATGAGCAGGAAGCAGCCAGTGAGGATGACAATATCTATCAAATACTTATTATGTGCTAAATGCTATGCCAAGTGCCCCTATGCATTCTAATCCTGAGATAAATGTGGATTTATTGGGGGTGGGGGGCTCAATCCTTATAGAAAAGGGAAAAAAGCAAATCACTCCTTTTCAGACACACTGGTGAGTGGATCGGCTACCTGTGCATTAACAGAGTGAACACAGCAGACCCGCTTGCAAGGCTGGCCTTGGCTGGTGACCGCAGCATGGATTTCGGGAGGGTTTCTGCCATTCCCAGAGCTGACAAGATTGAGGCTCACTGGGCTGAACCATTTGTACAAACAGTGTGGTTTAAGCTGAGCACCTGCTTCCCCTCCAGGAGTCTGGAATTTTGGTACGTGCTCGGCAGAGGCTGCCTATGTGACTAGCCCCCAGTGGAAATCCAGGATGCTGGGTGTCTAAGGGGCTTCCCAGAAGACAGCATTTCACACGTGTCACCACAACTTGTTCCGGGGGAATTAAGCGTGTCCCACGTGACGCCCCCGGGAAAGGACTCTTGGAGGCCCACTCCTGGTTTTCCTCAGACTTAACCCCATGTGCCTTTTCCCTTTGCTGATTTTGCTTTGTAGCCTCTCGCTGTAAGAAATCAAATTACATTCCGTGTCCTAGGACTTCTCCTAGAGAATCACTGAGCCTCGGGGTGGGCTTGGAGAGTCCTAGCACAATTTCACACTGAAAGACAAGATACATCGGCTCCAGACCCAACTCTGGACTCCACTCACTAGCTGTGTGACCTTGGGCAGATTACTTAACCTCTCTGAGGCTCCATTTCCACATCTGTAAAATGGGGGCATGCTAGAACCTGCTGCAGGGGGCTATGGTGATAATTCAGGGAGTATGTTAGAGCATTCAGAACAATGTCGGTCACGTTGGAAGCACTTGGTAAGTGCTGGATCTTATCTGCATCCCCCTGACATTTCTGAACTTCTTTCTCATCTCCAGAAATGCTCTCCCACAGCTAGTACCCAGTGAACCCAAGATGCCGCATCTCTTTTGATGAAGGGAATATAACTAATATCTATTTAGACTAAAGCCATTGAGTGTGTTACCTCTCCCAGAGACTCCCCCTTTTATTTATTTATTTGAGAGAGAGAGAAAGAGCAGGGGGGAGTAGCAGAGGAAGAGGGAGAAGCAGACTCCCTGCTGAGCAGGGAGCCCAAAGTGGGGCTCGATCCCAGGACCCTGAGATCATAACATAAGCCGAAGGCAGATGCTTAACCAACTGAGCCACCCAGGCACCCTGAGACTTCCCCTTTTAAAAAGAAGAATCCAAGGGCGCCTGCGTGGCTCAGATGGTTAAGCGTCTGCCTTCGGCTCAGGTCATGATCCCAGGGTCCTGGGATCGAGTCCCGCATCAGGCTCCCTGCTCCTTGGGAGCCTGCTTCTCCCTCTGCTTTTCTCTCTCTCTCTCCCCCTCTGTCTCTCATGAATAAATAAATAAAATCTTTAAAAAAAATAAAAAAATAAAAAAAAAATAAAAAGAAGAATCCAAGAAGGGCAATGCTTGACCAAAAGAACTTAAACAGAAATAGGCCAGTGGGAAAAATTATTTCAGGAAGGAAAAGGCTCTCCCAGAGCCCCTCAAATTGCAGCATCTACTTCACCTATGTCTGAGGCCATTGTATAACTATAGAAATGGTGGTTTTCCCGGGACAATATTCTTGACAATATGCTTCTCAGGTTGGGGCTGTTCCTAATAGTTTCATGGATCTGCTAGGATCATGTCACGTCCCATAGAGGGTCTGTGGAAAAAATTATGCCATTAGTTTGGGAGGTACCATTTACTGTTGCTGGCTAGTTGGTTAGGTATGCAGACCAACAGGTAATAGGGCGTGCCCACAGTTGGCAGGCATCCCATGAAGCAGAGGGTATCTCTGTAGTACTAAGAGTCAAAGCCCAGGCCGGCAAAGGCAGTGCATTAGATTAGACAGCCTGGGTCTTCTGAATTGCGGTCTGCAGGGCCACGGTGGCCTGGCATGGACCGTGTGGACCGCCAGAACCTGGCTGGGAGGGGCTTTTGACCAGCACAATTCTCAGCAAGAAAACAGCGCTGGATACAGGGAATGGATGAGAAGAAACAGGTGGAAGGATTAGAAAAATAAATCAAATGAGAGAACCTTAAAAGCCTCCCGAATTAAGCATTCAGAGGTTACAGCTCACATAAATCCCCTGGGTTGGGTCTGCTTTCTTAATTAAAGCTGATGCCATCTTCTTGATCCCCTGGGCTTCCTCCCCCGCTCTGACTTTACTACACAGAAGGAGGTGCCCATTTCCTTCCTTTCCACTGCTCTCCTCACCCACGTGATATATATGCCTGAAGATATATATGCCCCACCAGCCCTTTTTTGCTTGCAGGGTGACGGTGGCAATCACTCAGAGAGACAGATGGGAGAGGAGACAAAAATAAAAGAGCAAATAAATAAAAACATAGAGTGGTTACAAAGGTTTGAGGTCTGAGGCCTTGGTTCTTGTAGTTTGAATTCTCGGCTCTTTCTTGGATGGATGCCTTAGCCTAGTGGTCATGAGCTTGTACCCTGAATTCACAGACCTTGGTGTAAATCATACCGCCACCTACAGAGAGACAACCTTGGACAAGTGCTCATCGCTCTCATTCTCTCCTGTCTTCCCTATGAAATGAAAAGAACAGATATAGGGGGGCGCCTGGGTGGCTCAGTCGTTAAGTGTCTGCCTTGGGCTCAGGTCATGATCTCAGGGTCCTGGGATCAAGCCCCGTTTTGGGCTCCCTGCTCATTGAGGAGTCTGCTTCTCCCTCTGCCTCTCCCTCTGCTTGTGCTCGCACGCTCTCTCTCTCTCAAAATAAATAAGATCTTTTAAAAGAAAATGTAGAAATGTGTTTTCGCTCTTGTTATATAAGTTTTTATATAACATCCTCGACTTTACCAGTTGGGCCATAACATCTAAAATATTTACCATCTGGCCCTCTACAGAAAAAGTTGGATTCCTGTTCTAGAACAATCTACCAGTGCCACTGCCGTCCTCTTCTCTGTGGACATTCTTGACGTAGGAACAACTCACTTCTTTCCTTCCCCTCCATAAACATAGTTTGGCCAGTCAAGAGTCTCAAAGGGTTGACTTACAACGCAGGGACCCACAAAATGGGAGATTCTCATCTCCGTGTCTTGGGTTCTCTGCCAACAGGAAAAGTTGTCATCAGGCATTTGCTCTTCATACTAGCATTTTGATTTGAAAATGACTTAAGAATGTACCAGCTAGTCTCTGCTCATCAGCGGGCATACCTATAGTTCTAGAGTGGGATAAGATCCTTGGGGATCTCACAGAGAGTTTTTTGATACCACTTTTGGAGACTGAACATAGAGACACGTGCAAAAACCCCATTGCCTCCCAATTTCCCTAGTGATTGCTGTTCCCGTCCAAAGAACTGGAACCCAGAGGTCTTCAGCTTCTTATAAGCACCCATCCCTGCTTCAGATGAACTTGGCAAGACTCAAGGTAATCAATCTCTAGGCAAGGATCCTCCATTCTCTGAAGGGAACCAACAATCTTTCTTCAGTGTGCCCGACACACTCTTTCTCTAGGACCTTAGGTTGTGAGGAGGCACATCAGCATCATAGAACGAGGGAAAATAGATGAACCCCATTAGTCAGGGAACGTGGGACTTTTCTGAGGCCCCTTCCTGGCCCTCCCTGATGTAACGGCCGCATCACTCACTAGACGGGAGCGCTCCCCATCCCCCAAGCCCCAGCTGACTCCAGAGAGATTCTTGGAGGTTGATACAAACCAGCTTCCTCACAGTCCATGTACCATCCAGCTCAAATGCCCCCTCAGCACTTGGGTGGCCTGAGAAAAACAGACACGGGGAGAGTCCGGCACCACGTACCATGAAGTATGACTGCGGGCCTCCCCGGGTTCATCTGCTCACTAAGCTCCCCAGTGCACAAGGGCTGCTATCTTTAAAGAAGAACAAAGTCTAGTGGAATGTGTTCAAGTCTATGCTACCGTGCCCATCCCTCCAGCCTTCCTGCAGGTAAATACACTGCGGTTCTAACCTCCTGCCCACCCCAATTTGGAGGCAGAAGAGGATGGGTAAGTCAATGAAATAAGTAGCCTTGGCAGCCCTGAACTGCTCTGGACTAAAGGATTTCTGTACCCTCAGGGGCAGTGGTTCCAATCCGGAGGACAAGACTCTTCAACTGTATCATTAAATTAACAAGTAATATAGTTCAGTCTCGTATCCTGAGACAAATAACAAAATCACATTGCAGTGCCCATCCCAGGCATATTAAATCATCCTAGCCCATAGAAACCTGACTCCCCGGGAGGCAGAGACACCAAATGCCCCCTGATCAATAGGCAGAGATTCCAAACGTTAAGGAGGGAGAAGTTACTGGCCCGTTTACAGCCAGCCCTGTGTCTCTACAGCACCTCTGTCCACTCACACACTCAAAGTCACTTACAGATAACAACTTGTCACATCTCAGAATTTTTTTCCCTCGCTTCCAAGGCCATGTTCGAACATTTCCAAACTTTTCTCCTTAAGAGACTAAGTTATCAACCATGTCAGTGAAAAGATGGGAAAAGCAAGATCTGGACACGCAGTAGGTCCTGTTCAAAAGGCCTGGATGTTAACTGATTGCTGGGAACCTGAGATGCATTTTTCCCACAGGAATCCCAATACCTGTTTAACCAGGTGGTCGAGGTAACATGAAGCAGGTGCATACCGTGCGCCCAACTCTGTGCTGAGGGCCGTGCATGTTAATCTCGTGAACGCGCGCACTGAGTCTGTGCCTGGGTTCCACGGTTACTGCTGATTCACAGATGATAAAACTGAAGTGAGGGGAGTTCAAGGGACTTCCCCAATGTCACAAGGACAACAGCCAGAAGCACCTGTATTTGAACTCAGGCAGCTGGACCTCAGTGTCTGCTCTTAGACACTCAGCAAGACCATGGCCCTGCCCTCCCAGAAATAGCGGTCGGATCAAATCTAATCCATATTCCAAAATCTTTCCTGCAAAATGAGGACCGAGTCCCATCTGAGATGTCAAGGCCTCCCCTTCAGCCACTGTCTGAGGAGGAGCAGTAAGGGGCTCCCTGATGCCCGGAGGGGTCTGTGTTTGCCAGGGTTTGTCCTAGAATGTGAGCAAGACCTGAGATTCTGGAGGGCTCTGGTGCATGGGAAACCAGTTGATATCTGTGCTACGGACTGAATGCTTGTATTCCCTCCAAAATTCATGATGAAACCTAATCCCCAATATGATGGTATTTGGAGGTGGGGCTTTTGGGAGGAGGTGATGAGATCATGAGAGCAGAATCTTCATGAATGGGACTGG